TCCTTCTGGGAATGAAAGGAACCGCTGTTCCCACAGGGTCAGGGGCTACTGGTCCCCTTTCAGGAAGTGGGGAGAGGTCCTGGCACTTCTGGAGACCAACTGAAACCTAAACCCTGTGACTTGGTGACCATACGGTCAAGAAGATTGCTGATATCTCTCTGTGGGTTGTGGGAACAAAGACATCTGCTGCCTTACTGGCTTCACATGATGCCCTGGGATCTGTGAGTGATGTCATGCCCATGAGCTGCAGAGCTGACAAACAGGGCTTCACACTTCAAGTTTGCTATTATTGGGACACAGCACGCAAACTATGGTTAGACCATTGGTCTGACTTCAGTGGTCTACAAGGCTTTCAACAGGTTGTAAAGGCATGGCTGTAGGTACGTGGAGGTTGAGGTATGATGCAGGGTTGGCCTCCTAAAATTAGCTTTTGTCAGGCTAACCCCATATCTTTCTTTGGAAAGGTAACTAATTTCCTCAGCAAAGAGAGGACTTCACAGTGAGAGGCTAATATGATGCTGCATTACAGTGTTTTTCTGGAGAAGACACAGTATAGCCCAGCTGTTGTATGTGAAGAGCTGGATAATGGAGAAGTGGTGGTGGGAGGTGTTGAAAGAGCAGATAACTGCTGAAGTTCCTTGGAGATGATGTTAGCTCCTACTTTTGTTGAGGACACTGGCACAAAAGGCAGGAGCATGCTGCTGGCACAGTGCTGGGGCTGTGGGAACACAAAGTGGGGTGAGGATAGCCAAGGAGAAAAGCTGCAGTAGCAAACCCAAGAGAGTCTATAATGCAAAAGGGGATGAATGTAAATATGGGTGTAATGGTGTTTTTGCTGCCAGCTTGGAAATTACGGCAGTTGGAAGCAACCTGATGGATAGAAGTGCTTGGTGCAATGCTCAATTATGGGGTGAAAACAAGCCACCAGGCTGATGGGACTGTGAGAAAGGCTGGTGTGGTCTCAGGCTGCAAGCCATGGTGTTTCCAGTGTCACTGGGGGATTGCTTGTACTGTTATACAAGTGAGACCTCCTGGAGACAGCTCTGTGTTTTTGGTCACTCTTCTTCAAAAAAAAAAGGCACTTAAACAGGCTGATGAAGAAAATAGCTGTTTTCTATTACAGTGTCTATCACAGTGATCCTTCTTGCATAGGTCCTCAAGTGTTAGCTCCAGTTGTGCAGGGTTTGAAACCAGAAGCAAAATAACCTTGCCAGCAGGACTCTGCCTGAGCAATATATCTGCATCACTTCTGGGACTTGAGTTAGTATCTCTTCAAGGCACTTGAGACAATTTGCCTTGCACTTCACTGCTTGGTACAGACGCGCTGCCTTAGAAGAGCTGGCCTTGTGTAACTTATAAATGATAGCTGGGTGGGTCTGGCTCTTGCTTCTAAAGGAAGGAGGATGAAATGCTGGGAAAGAAAAAGAGCTACTTAAGTAAAGACAGTTTTGACACAAGAGAAATTGTATGTAAAATGCTTGTGGGTAAGAAATGAGAAGAGCAGAGGAGTTCTAGTGCAGCGTTTTAGTATAAGTCAGGAGGGCAAAGCCCCAGCTCCTAAGGTGGACTTTGATCGGTCTGTAAAAGGCATGGTATAAAGGTAGCTCTGCAGTGCAATGAGACCTGGACCAGCAGGACCCTCAGATAGACAAGTAGTATCAGAAAAGTGAGTATTTAAACAACTACTCCATTCTTCCTCCACCACCACCCCCCCCGCCCCGACCCCCACTGCGAAAAAAGTGAACAAGCTCCTCTGTGTTAGTGATGCGTCTCATATGGTCTCGATTAGAAGTTGGAAATGAGTCTAGGTGGATGTGTATATGGTGAGCACTTCAGGATTTGTGAACTATGGTATTGGTCTTGAAGCTATTGTGTCTTGTAGAAGAACAGCTTACCTTAGTAATAACTGAGGAATGCCACAGGAATATATATTTAGAGACATTTACAGGGAGGAGGGAGTAACCCACTGACTGTAATTCATACCTCAATGCCTGACTGCAGAGACCAGGGCAAGGCTGGGAGTTGTCACATCTGTATTTGGAGTGAACCCAGCATTCGTGTTCCTGCCAGGTTAATGAACCGAGGCAGAGGAGAGGGGAAGGTCTCATTCTTCAGCAGCAATTGGGAGTATGTAAGATTTCTAGGGCAGGCAAAACCCTGGAAGGAAAAGAGGGGGAGATATTTGAGATAATGAAGGACATGAAGAGGGACTTAAGTTTTAGGGGTGGAGTTTCTTTGCTTCGTTGTTTTGCTTTCCTGTGCAACTGTTGCCAATTTTACTATCACAGCTTGACTTCTTGAGCTTTCATAATAGGATGCATCATCTCTGTTTTGTTTTTAAAGAGGATTCAGGCGAACCCAGCCAGTGCAAAGTTATACTATTCTTTCCAAAACAATAGGGAACCAAAGAAAATGGTTTTTCTAGTGTATCTTTGAGGTGCCTGTGAACCAAGACTGGTTTGCTACTTCTAGGAGCAAGGGTGTAACTCCTGCTAAGTTGAAAAATCAGAGGAAAAAAAGGGGAAAAGCTATTTCTGGGAGTCCTTGAGAAGGGAAGTGTCTGTGTAGCTTAAAGGCCTCAAAGCCCCTTGCTGACCTGTGCACCTAATTCAAGATGACTCTATTTCCCTGTATTGTACTCTGTGTAAAGCAGCTGCTGGGTTAGGGGATTATCCTGTACATAAGTGTGTGTGTATGTATTTATTTCCACTGTTTCTTCTTTTATCTCTCACTTTATGGGTGTTGTGTGTCTATGTTAAATAACATACCAAAGCATATCTGGCTCAGGAAGCTCATAGGCTTCGTTTGGGAGGCTGGAACACAGGTTGTGGAGTTGTATTTACAGTCTAGCTTAATGCCACTTCTGGGGAGGCTTGGCCATGGGGGGGCCCCAAGACCCCTATACTCTAGTGCTAAGTCATCAGAAACTTATGCCTGTGAATGTTGCTGGGAACAAGCTCGGGTCTTTTTCTGCCTCTTCTAGAATGCTGCCCACGTGGCTCTGAGTGTCAGGTCAAAAATAACTTTGACTTTTTTTTAGCAAATACAATCAATAAAACAAGAGCCAATCTGGCCGCCGGCTCCTTCCCAGCTGTGGTTGCTCCATAGCTTCTGGCTCAGGGCTGCTTCATCCCTTCCCAAGGGTCATTGCTTGGATGCGCTAGCTTCAGTATGCCCTGGTGGTAAACCCACATCATTCTACTCATGCTTCTCCCCATGTTCGTTCTTTCTCTTGGAGAACCCTCTCTTTTGGTATGGAGGAGTTGCAGATGGGAAATATCTTCAACTTGTGTTTCTAGCCTTGCTCAGTCCTGCAATCTTGTGGCCCAGGACCTGAACTCGCAGTCCTGCCCTGTCTCAGAAAAGTTTCAGTGAGCCGCTGGATCTCTTGACTGAATCCTCCCACTCTGTGTTTTGTTCTGCAAGTGTTCACAGGGGCCTTAGACGTTGGCAAGGAGTACAAAATGGCTGTAAAAACGTCCTGTTTCTCATTCTGTCTGGGACACGGATGATCCAAGCTGATGAGCAGGTCGTTGAGGATGAACCGTAACTTATGCTGCCATGCAGCAGCCGGTTGGGAGCTTATGCTGTGTCCTTATGCTAACCCCTCTGGGTATGCAGACAATTATGGAACATGTGGAAAGCAGAGGTGACTCTTGTGGGTCTCTGCTTTTCTTGGATCTGCATGGTGAGAAAAGAGAAATATGTTTAGATTTAGTCCAGGCTTTGTATTTTTCTTCCTTGAGCTGGACGCTATTTGGGATGTGGTTCAAATAGGTCCGTATACTTCTGTCACGCTAATTTGTCTGGTCTTGTGCAAGCACAAGGCATGTTGAGTGCTGGAGGAGGAACGTGTGGCCCCTGTGACTGCTCTAGAAGTGGTCAGAGGTCCCTCTTCTTCTTACTCAGCCTCTGGACCACCACGTGGGGTCCTGCAACCTTCTTGCCTAGAATAAAAGAATCATGGGACAGTTCTCAGTGTTGGCTTATCACCCCAACCCTGCATCACTTGGAAGTGTTTCCCCTCTCCAGGGCCAAGTCCAAAGCCAACTATTGCATCAAGGCAGATGTGAGTTTGGGTGCACGTGTTCATAAACTTCGAAGTTGTGTTTCTTTCACGTGTTGTCTAAGGGGACCAGCCAGATGTTTTTTCCCCCTCTTGGTTTGCTTTGAGAGCGCCACCTCCACCTTCTCCCCGGCAAAGACCCTCTTGAAAATGTTTGTGCTTTCTGGTGGGAGGATGTCCAAGTTTAATCTGGGAGAAAGCCTGAACTGGCCAAGGGCTGCCTGGGGGATGAGGATCGAGCTCCTTCCCCACCATGCAATGTTACAGCTTGTTAGCAGAGGCCTGTGTCCACAGCCAGCTGGCCACGCTGCTGTCAGCATCGCTCCTGTGCTGCCAATAACAGGAGACCCTATTCTCTGGGGCTGTTGATCTGTCACCTTCCTCTGGCTCTAATATTTACTGAATAATGCTCCTGCAGTGACAGATCTATTTCTGGTTTTGTTCTCTGTAACATACCTGCCAGAGTGCCCCAGGCGACTGAGGAATTTATAATAAAGGCACGATTTCCAAACTAAGTTTGGTGCTTTCCTGCCCGCAGCATTTCCAGCCAGCAAAGACTAGGACCCTGTTTGTCCACCCCAGTGAGAGACTGGGTAAATATATGACGACTACTTTTTTCCATTTAGGTCCCAAGTTTTTGTTGAGAGGTTTTTATTTGCTTTCACTCCTTTTGCGTGAGCCTTCTCAATTGTGTCTTTATTTCACTGTTATGCACAGTGGGGTGCAGAGAGGGGCAATGACTAGGGCAAGGATGTTCAATGTCTTAGTTGCACATTCCACATGTAAAACCATGTTATCTGGCTTTTCCAAAATGCTGGGAAAGCAGAATGGTGTTGGGTGTTAGGGCATGTCACTCTCCCTCAGTGTGCTGTCCCCTGCCCAGGCAGTGACCATGTGGTGGTACCACAGCTGAGTCTTTCCTTCTTTTCCACAGACACATAGAGAACTGGAAGAACTTGCAGACGCTGAATGCTGTTGACATGGAGCTGTACACGGGACTCCAGAGGCTGTGAGTATGTCCTGCATGTCGGGGAGGAGAACAGCACTGGGCAGCCCCTTCCTTCCAGCAAAGAGCTATGGCGTCCCCCCATTCGCAGTCTCCACGCCGCAGTGTTCAGAGCCTGTTTAAGCTACTGGCTCTGCCGTATTTTTCTATGAGACTCTGCAAAATGGAGATGAAGTGCTGTTTGGACCTTGCTGGGTCTGCGAGAAGGAATATTGCTAGCTCCTGACAGTTCTGTCAACACACATCGGCCCTGACCTCTCTTCTCCCTCGCTGTTCCGGTTCTGGGCTTGTGCATTGTTCTGACTCATTTCAGCCCCACAATGCAAAATTCCAGCTGTCTCCACTGATCCTTCATTGCTGGGCTGTTGGTCCTCATTTAGTGCAGTCGCCACCATGGCAGTGCTGCATGATTGCATCTCCCTGCACAACCCTCAGCACCAGGAGAGGTCAACCGTGTGTGTCATGGAGGGGAAACTGAGGTCCATGAGATTGAAGGGACTTGCCAGGTGCTTGGGAAGCCTGGACAAGTGAGGATACCACCCAACCTCTTAATTCCACCTCCTGTGTCCTCCTGGGGATGGGAGTGCCCTGGGTGCTGCTTGTGTGAGATGCACAGTGTTGCTCAGGGTTAACTGGAGACTCTGCTAATGTGTTTCACTAGGAACTTTGTTGGGTACAGCTTGTCCGCTGGAGGAGAGGTGTATGCTTCTGAGCACTTGATAACCAAACCCCAGCAAGTTGTACTTTTAACATACACCTCCCCACCTTGTAAGCAGTCTGGGTACTGTTCTCATCTCACCTAAGAAAGCAGCAATGGAGTTGGGTGTACTTTTGTCTCTAGGAGTAGTTAATAAGCCTTGGTCATAGGGCTGGTACAGCTTCTCCAAAACAGGGTGGAAAGAGGATTCCCTCTTCAGTTTCAATAACTCCCTATACAAAAAACTCATTCCTCCTTATCTGAGCTGCAATCAGAAGGATGTTCTCTCAGGTTTGAGGGAGGGGAGATGGTGGTGCTGGGGTGTTAGGTTTGCTGTGGGGCCAGGCAGTGTTGCTCATGAAGATGGAGGGAGAAGAGAGGAGCAGGAGATGTGCTGGGCCATCTCAGCAAGCCTTGGTGGATGCGGGGAGAGAGTCTTGTCTTGCCCAGCAGCTGCTCTGCACTGAGCCTGTGCACTCACTATATCAGATGAAGCTGAAAAGCCCAATTTCCTCTTTGTTTGTAACTCATAGAGGCTGTCTGGGGAGAGATGTGCCTCTGGGGTGGGGGGGGGCACTGCAGGGCTCCCAGTGCATTTCTGGATGCTGAGTGCAGGGTTTTAGAGCAGTCGTCACCCTTGACTCCATCACTGCCCTTCTTCATCTCTTTGCAGGACAATCAGGAACTCAGGACTACGAAACATCCAGCCACGCGCCTTTGCCAAGAACCCTCACTTGCGCTACATGTGAGTGCTGGCAGCTCCTGCCCCCTTTTCCCTCTGCTTCCTGTGGAAGGATGATCCCCAAAGGTCCCCAAAGTGCCTGTTGGGGAAAGCAATGGGATGGGAGGGTGATGAGGAAATGGAGGGAGAGATGGTAAAGGAGGGGGAGAAGAAAAAGTGAAGGCACAGGGAAGTGCAGTGGGCCCTGATGCAGGATGGGGTGAGCACCTGCTGGTCAGCTGGTGGGTTTTGGTGTCTAATAACTGGCCTGGCTTTGCTGCTCTAATGAGCACTTGGGTCATTAGCAGCCTTGCGGTGGCCAGTGTGCATTTCCCTTTCTGCAGAGTTTGGGGAGGAGGGGGCACATGCCCCAGCACACAGCTGGAGACTGCCCTGTTCATTAACTTTTAACCAAAGGGCACTTTTCCAGTACAGAGAGGCTGGGGCACAGGGCTGCCAGCTCTGCTCCTAATTATTGACTACTTAAACTGGCGTCTGCAGCAGGCCTGGGGTACGGATGTTTTGTGCAAGAGAGACTGGAGACCTGTTATCATGGGATATTGCATGAGTGTTCAGCTGCTGGGGCATTGTTAGCCACCAGGTACGGTCTCCTGGGAAATTCCCACATCCTCGAGGCCAAGGGCACTGATTTCTTTTCTGGATATGTATTTATTTTTTTCCAAGGCAATAAAGGAAAGCCAGAATTTCAGGCCAGTGTGTAAGATGCTTGAAATATCTCATCAAAGTGACTGTGTCTGAGATCAAACCCCTCTCAGCTCCTGTATAGATATAAAAGGTGAAAAGGGGTTGGTAAGAAGCCCCAACCTTGGGTACGAGCTGATGGGATGGATGGAGTGTGTTTGTATCCCTGCTTTTTGTAAGCCAATGCTAGTGGTGGCTTCTATGAAAAATGGCCGTAGTGTGCTTCTATTTGAGCCTGAGGATGCAGGCGGCCATCGATATGGACATGTACCTGGTGGAGGGAGATAGGTGAAACCTGCAGAGCAGGATAGATTTGTCTTTTGATGTCTGCTTAGAGATGATGTGAACTGAAAAACCCCAAAAGCTTCCTTTTTGGAAAACCAGTTACAGTTGCTAAGTGACGGTAAAGTACTTGCTAAATAGGAGATCTGCAGTACCAAAGGGCATGAATAGTTAAGAGCTTGTGAACAAACAGAGACTTCTTGAGTTTAAAGTGTGTATTTTGTCATAATAAACTGTCCTTAATGCTGACCACCGGATCTTCCTGATTTCTGCACTTTGTTATTTTGATTTGTAGCATTTGTTTTGTGTTTTCTGTGGTTGGTTGTTACCTGGAAGAGTTCTCTCTGAATACCTCTCCCAGTTGATTTTTTTGGGGGTGTGTGTGTCTGTGTATTTGTCAATTTTGCAGTTGCTGTTGATGTACCTAACAGATAAAATGAATAATATTTGATTCCAGTTGAAATTAGTTTGGATGTCATAGCAGTTTAGAGGGCTACATGTGCTTGTTTTGAGGCTGTGTGCTGTTAATGTGTATACATGCAATTGTTGCTGCTTTTTCCAAAAGTGTTTGTTTTTGTCTTTTGAGATTGGAAAAAACCTCACATCCATCTTGTGTCAAGAGTTAAGGTTGGTATGTGGTGATGAAATATGTGTTTGTTTACTGCTTGGTCCATGTAAGATTGATCATGTTCTTAACATCTTTCTTTTCTTGCCTTTTGAAGCTTGAGGCAAGTAAGTATATTATTTGGTTAGTGTTTGCCAGTGGGTTTTGATGCTGTTCCTAGGAATGTGGATGTTTGCAGGGTGGATGTCCCCCACGGCAGACACCAGGCATCCAGGGATGGAGACCTGGTGCTTGCAGGAATGGTGGCTCCCTCCTGCTCCCCAGAGGCTCTTGTGCCACAGTGCCACTGCTCCCTTGCAGCCAGATTGTTTTTTCTGGGGTTCTCTCTCCCTGATGGGGGGAGCGCAGTGGCTCCTGAGGCTTTGCAGAGCCTAGCAGGCACCTGATGCCACCCGGGGTCCCCTCCCTGGCCCTGGTACTGTGCAAGCGCATCGGGGTGCCTCCTCTGCTGCTCCACAGCCACTGCCTCCTGGGGAGCTTGGCTCGCCGAAGGCCTGACATTTTCTGCAGCCACTGCACGTAGGAGTCAGGGATAAAAGGATTAATGGAAATGTCACTCTGCTGTAAGTCTTGGGCTGCCGTAACCAGGTACAGTAGCTGACAGGAGCAAGGGATTCTGTCTCAATACTCTTGCGGCAGGGCTGGCTGCAGCTGGATGGGTGCGGGGCTGGGGACTGTGGGATGGTGTGCTTAAGGCTTGTTGAGTTACTGCTACACATTATTGCTGTCACTCTCTGTTTTTTCTTATCCTTTGCTGGCTATTTGGATGGTTGCAGGTAGAGTTAAGTCAATAAGGTGGCAAACGTGTCTAATAAATGACAGAGGTTTTACTGCCAGGGAGGGCTGGTGGACCCAGGGAAGCACAGGATGGTGGGAACCCTGTGCTGGACCTTTGCAGGGTGCTACAAGCTACGTCTGAGCAGCACCAGGCATTTTTCCACATGAAGTTCATGTACAAATTTTGAGGACCCAAAAGCTGTTTCTTTTTCCTTCTCCCTCCCCATCCTGGGTTAAATCCCAGCCTCCTGCTGAAGTGAATTTTTTCCAGTGCCTTTCATAAAGGTTTCCTCCTCTCAGATGGGCCAGATAGCTCTGCCTTCTCCCAGCAACTTCTATTTCTGGCCCTTCCTCTGTGCACACGCTTGTCTTCAGAACCCAGCTGTGCAATCACAAGCAGATCACTTATCCCAGCTCTAATTGCAGGAGCTCAGGTTTGTGGGGGTTTGTTTAAGATAATGGTTCTGGATGAGGTTTGGCTTGTTTTTTTCCCCTCTTCCTCATCACAGAGTCAGGGAGGAAAGGCAAGAAACACATGAAGAGGATTTTCAGCATTCAACTGCCCAAGTTGTAGACCTCAAAGTGCTCCAAAGTGCAGCCTGGTAGGGTCGTGCCTGTCCTTTAAGGTTTGAAATTAGCTGTATGAGTGTAAGGGGCTTGAGGCCAACTTAATCAGTGGAGGAGCAGTGGGTAACAGGGAGACAGAGGTATGGATCTGGAAATAGCTTTGGATTCCTCTCCTTGAATGAGGACAGGGCTTCATGGCTTGTCTGATTGCTGGTGCTATGAAGCCTATCACTGCTACAGAGGCAATTAATCCAAAATATAACAGTGTGTTTTGCAACGTAGATCTACCTCTTCTGCTGGCAACTGGGTTGAGATAGTTGACTCCTTCCAGAACAAGTGATGGCTGGATGTTGAATGGGGATGGATGTGGGTCTGATCTAAACTGGATATCATCCAGTGCCATTTTGTGCCCTCACTGGAAGTCATGTCACTTGGTAAAGTTGCACTGATGGGTTCCTGGTCCCATTTCTGTGCAGCTTTGACAGCCTTTGGCTAATATGGGGATGGTCTTGAATATCATGGTTGTGAGGACCAGCAGATTTAGGCTGTGAAAAACTGAGCCTTTTCAGCTAAGATTAGTGGAAGTTAGTGTTAGCAGGTGATGCAGGTGAATGTGGGAGATGTTTTCTGTGTTGACAGAAAACCTCTGTCTTTGGCTTAAAGTTGTACAAGAAAACTTTAGGATGATACAGTTCTTAAATATAAGACATACAAACCATCTGAATACGTATTTATTATGTTCCTGTGTATAGCACAGCTTATTGAGGAAAAAAGTCTTTCATGCTTTCACTCACTCTGTCTGTCTCCTAATAACATTGCAATGGTTTGGCCAATTTATTTGAACTTGATAGAGGCTTACAAGTCATGAGGATTTCGGGTTCCTACATGTATCATGAAAACAGGCAGAGGAATAATAGAGAGAGGTTGTTTCAAAGTCCTGTGGGGAAGAATACAACATTATCACATTCCCCATTAGGCACTGGGAAGTCCACAGGAGACCTCAGCTTCACAGTGCACCAGGAATCAGTGCACAGGACCTCTGTGCTGCTGGCCAAAGTGTCCAGCCTTCGCTGGCTGTGGGACAGGAGAGCTGTGCATGTAAGAGAGTAGGCTCCCAGCAGGTTGTGTCTAGAGGTAGACAAGCTGACATTTGCAGTGCCCAAGTCCCCCTTTATTGGGAAGCAGGTACTTAAGGGACTGTGGTTCCCTCTAAATATTTTCCTGGGAGGCTGCATACTCAGCCAGCCAGTCAGGAAGCACTGCCTTGTATTTGCGGAGGGTAATTGTGCACACCTTATTTATTGTGTAGTAAAGAAAACAAATTAAGGCTGTGTAATTATAGAGACAGGCACACTTTTAAATAAGGTTTAAGTAGTCAGATTTCTATTTAGAAAATTAATAATTGCCATTTCTGTCTGCATTCAGAGGCTCTTCTTAAACTATCTTTTGGAGGTTTATACATGCTCTAAATTGGTTTGTGGACTGGCCAAGACACATCTCCTGTCAAAGAGCTCGCTCTCAGTACTGCCTGCCAGAGTAAGGATGGGGCTGAGGATCAAGCTTTCTCTTCCAGTTTTTACTCAAGGGTCTTAAAGACGGAGGGAGACTCTGGAGTGCTTTGTGCTGAGTGTAACAGGGTTTTGAGTATGGTGTGGTCAGATCGCCTGCTCCACAGGCATTTTTAGCTGTGTGATCCTGTCAGTCTTTTTCTCCCACAGATGAGGATTGGGGAAGGCCTGGAAGGTGCTGTCAGGAATGTGCAGGGATGTGCTTTGCCTGGTGAAAGACTGAGCTGACTGATCTATGGGCTTGTTTTCATAGGCAAACAAACCTGAGCTATGATTAGTCTGGAGCCTCCCAGAACTTCCTCTGTAGGTTGTGTTGTTTTCTGAGGATGGGGTTAGCTTTGGTGTCCTGGTTGGGTTCACGGCAGTTGTGCAGTGTTGTATGAACTAGTACCTTAGTATTAGATGTAGTTTGACATGGGAATTCTCTGAGATGTGTTTGTGTTTTTAGGCTTTAATAGGGAAGAAACTGGGCTGCATTCTCTAAAAAGTGAGGTGGCTGAGGC